ACAAGGTGGCTGATCCCATTATCATGTTTTTAAATTTGTTTCTGAAATGAGAATAAATCACAGAATATCCTCGGAAAGCGGTAGTATTTTTTATTTTATTCTATTCATTGTGAAATCAACATAATCAATACAGTTACAGATCACAGGTGATAACAATTACATCAAGATTTTGAGAGATAGCCATATTTCTAACATGTTACATGATCACTACCCTAATAACACACTTATGTCCCATGGATATCCTTAGGACGTCCTGTCGGGACATTCAGAACGTACATAGGACGTTTGAATTTGGTACCGTGGACGTTCATTGGACGTCTGTGGGACGCACAAATGTCCCACTTGAGGACCAACTAGGGACGTCCTTGAGGGATGTCCCTGGGACAACTATCGAATACCTAAATCCTACAGTATTCCTCATCAAGCACTACAGAGGACATCCTTAGGACATCCATAGGACAAACTATCAGCTGCGCTGAGGGATATTATTTGGGTTTCCCAGGGACGTACGAATTTTTCTTGAATTTTAATTTTTCTGGGTCCCTCTGGGACCAGATCTTGCATAACTGATTAGGACATCCAGTTGAGTTGATGGTCCGTATAAGGTCCCCAAAAAGTTTCCCAAGGATGTCCAATGGACTTACGTGAAGGACATTGACGGCGAGGTGTAAGTTAACGTCCTCGCAGGGACAACATATTGGAAGTACCGACTGGGACGTCCATAGGACGTTATTTCTAGGACATTGGAAGAGTGAAGTTCATGTACCAATTGGAACATCCGACGGATATCCCTAAGGGACTCTCGAAGAATGTCCCTAAGGGACATTTCGATTGTTGTACGATCCTGGAAATATTAAGGGCGTCTGCGCAGAGATATTCAAGGGAATGAACCATCAGGGACATTTCATGGTTATCTAGAAGGGACATTATAAAAGATCTGAAGTCATGCCAGAATATGTACTACTCGGGACATCCGATGGATGTGCCTAAAGGAACGTTTGAAATCATATCCCATCAGGGACATGCCAAGGACGTCCTTGCATGGACATTCTACAATATGTACCACGTGGGACGTCTGAGGGATGCTATTTCTAGGACATTTGAAATGATGTACCAGCTGGGACATTCCGTGGACGTCCTTGCTCGGACATTGCATGAGATGTACGGAATGGGACGTCCCAAGGACACTTATATTTGGTTCGGGACATTCGGACGTGAATTGTACCAATTAGGGACGTCTTTAGGACGTTGTGTGCTATTAGGGTAATGTGAAACTAATCATTATCAAACGTAAATAAATAAAAAGTGAGCAAGATACATTTGAATAATTTCAAATCGAAAGAAAATGAGAAAAATAAATACCTAATGTCTCGAATCCCAATGTTTCAATCAGGTATTAACATATACCGTAAAATGCGGTTACTTTGCATCTCCAGGTAACTTTGCCATGAGTTCGTGAAAAATCTGAAAAAATTGTTCATTTCTCAACTGTTGATACTAAATTGGCGTGACTTCGCCTAACGGATTTCCAGGATCCTCTGTTAGTCTGGTATCAATAGATTCCAGATAGTTGAAAAGGCTAGAGCTCTAGGTGCCGAAAACAAACTGCCTATTTCGCGTGAGTTTATATGTACGTGAGTATCTTCTGGAATGTTTCATATCAATATTTTCATAGTGGTGACCTCAACATGCCTATTATCGATATTCTTACAGGTTTTCAAAACATCATATCGATAACTTGACGAATTTTTGGGGGTTGGCAAAGTTCCACGATATTTTTTTTCTATTTCGAGAGTACAAAAATTATTATAGAGTCGTTACAATGTGAACAAACTCCTGAAACATTAGAACAGACTGTTAATGCCTTAAAAAAGGATTTCCTTTAACAGAGCGTCAAAACTATTCAATATACCAAGGATACAACCCAGAACCTTAGATAAAAGGTTCATCAACGTCATACTGGTAAATATAGTGCACCAACTGAGCTGAGTGAATAGATGAGAGGGAGCTTGTGGACGTCATCTTTGCCTGTGTGCTGGATATGGGTGTCTCTTCACTCTTCTAAGTTCTACTGATTTTATTTTTTCTAATATTCCGTTTTTTTCCTCAATTCGAGGACTCTTTTTTATGAATTATTGAATTCTTCATTAATTTTGATGAAGATGGAAATAAGGTATGGGATTCATCACATGATAGACACACTAAAACGCAAAACGCATTTATATCAAAATTTTGTGTTCATTTCTTTCTGATTTTGAACCCCATGGATGGATGTCAAAGTATCTCATCTGGAGATGAATTTTGCCAAAAATGAATTTTTATATATACTTCACATCACATGCCAATTTCGAAATTCAAAAATAAAGAGCCAGAATTGACCATATTTCTTTGGCGAATACATATCATTCATCTTTCAATAATTATTAATAAAAAACCCGATATTCCTGGCAAAGTGACCACGTTTTCCGGTAGCAGTTGTACAAATAGGAAAAAGTATACTCATTACATAAAACCTTCAAAATAATTATTCATACAAAAAACAATGAAGAAAATACAAAGAGAAATTAGTGAAGTATGGATGATAATGTAACAAAAAGAGTTAAGAGTCAGTTTTTGTAGCGGGACTTCAACAGCTCAAAAGACACAATTTTTCAAGTGGAAAATCTTTCATATACAGGTTTTCTAAGTTTTCAGGTATTCAAGAACGCTCGATAGCCTCTAATATTGCGTTCTCAAAGTGCACCATGTGTACCAAATTTCAATTCATTATTTTGAAAAATGTAGGGGAAAACTTGAAAAATACAAGGAACATCTGAAACTTTGAAACCCTGTATATAGGAAACGAAGTCCCCACACATATATGTTTACAAAAGTTCGAGAGAGAATTTGTATCACAGTGATCAATACGAATATATTATCCAAACATGCCCTATGTTTTCTGAACCCAGCTTGACTCTGGTAGTACATTGTTTTCCTCGCACCAAATTGATAACCTATTTAGCAGAATAGATGTGAATAACTTAGCTGAACAATTGAGCAAAGCTATCCCACGGTAGTCGCTGGGATCTGTTTTGGAACCTTTTTTTATGAAGCATAGATATAAGTGTAGTGTGCCAGTTGGGTGGGATTTCTTGAGAGTTGAAGATATATAACGAGCATATGTATAACGTCCAGTTTTGGGGAAGATTTTTAATAAATTCATGGGCGACACCATTCCTGCCCGGAGCTCTTCCATTTTTACATTACCATAGGCAACTTTCCAATTCTGTATAATCTGAAATATTCAATCTAAATAGTCGTGGCCTGCATCAAAGTATGATATTTCTGTAATCGTGGTTGACGGAGTTTCATCTGACTCTCTTATCATAAATGCTGGTGTTCCGCAAGGATCAATCAACGATTTGTTGGAAGCAACTTCATGTTCAGTACACAGCTTCGCGGATGATAGTACCCTCCATACCGCCTTCTCGTCCAGGGCTCCAATACCAGCCAGGCAAATCAGAAACGAACGAGAGAGAAATGTTGACAACATAAATATGGACTTGGCAACAATTCTCGAATGGGGATCCAATAACTCTATCTAAAACACAAGCATGCCTTTTCTCTAGAAAAGCCGATCTCACTGTGCCCAACATAAGCTTGTCAGGAGTAACCTTACCTTTGAAGACATCCATTTAGATGCTTGGTATTATTAACAGCAATAACCTTTCTTGGGAGACTTATGTGGGATCAATTGCTGAAAGTCCACCCCAAAAACTTGGTGTTCTGTTTCGGGCCAGGAGCTATCTCGCTTCCAGTCAGCTGCTTATGATCTATAAGGCACAGATTCGACCTGTCCTGGAATACTGTTCCCATATTTGGAGTGCAGCACCCACACATACCCAAGAACTGTTGGATTCTGTCCAAAAGAGGGATATTCGTCTCGTGGATGATGCCTCGCTCACAAACTCACTCACTTCTCTGTAACACCGTAGAAAAGTTGGCGATCTGGCTGTATTTTATAGACATTTTCATGAACGATGCTCTTCTGAATTATCAACAATTGTTCCTCCCTTGGCAGTCCCCGCGAGATTAACCCACCGAATTGAGGCTTCGCACCCCTTCGTGGTCACTTTGGAGACCTGCAGATCATCTCTTTCCAAAGACTCGTTCATCCAACGAACAGCGAGGCTCTGGAACACATTGCCAAGGGGGGTGTTCCTTGAGGCATATAACCTCTAGAAATTCAAGAAGCACACCAATTCCTACCTTATTTCCCTTGGTTCTCACGATGTTCTCTGAACATTAAAGGATATCCCTCTTCGTGGGAACCAGAACATGAAAAAAAATCAACCTTGGAGTGTGTAGACTATCGTAAAACGATTCCCAATCTCCAATTGAGATAAAAGTATCATTCCTAATAGATCTGAACTTCCTCAGGGCTTTCCAAAATACATTTTGATTCTGAGTTTCACTAAGTATTTTCACAATCCATTTCTCATGCTCATATTTTTTCTGTTTAATGAGATTTTTATAGTACGATTTTGATTTAATGTAATTCGATAAACCAAGAATCTCAAGACTAAGAGATTCTAGAGAAATTTCGTGAATCGATTGTCAGCTGATGCAAGACAGACTGTTTCGACTTGTCATAAGTCTCATCAGTTGCACTGGTCAGCTGACAATCGATTCACGAAGGGTACCTCCATATATCAAACAAGTCGAAGCCCTGAGGGGGCAGAAGGACGATCTAGCCTTCATAGCCATCTAGTCAGTTAGTGGAACATTAAACCACTTTGAGAATTACAGGTGTTGCGATAGTCTACAGAATCTGACATGGATGTCTTTTCTGTAAGCATATAGACGTAGGGGTCTATATGCACGACTTAGTCGCAAGGTATGATTGATGAATCTACCTATACACCTTGCACTTAAGCCACTAGATGGCTATGAAGGCTAGATCGTCCTTCTGCCCCCTCACGGCTTCGACTTAATGTAATTCCTTTTTCCAAGGCTGTTGGAAATTATTCACTTTGCAGACTTTCTGGCAATTTGTGCAGTGTCTCTTTGAAAAATTGCAATCTAGGTCGAACCATGGCTTGTTTTCAAATTTATTGGGGTCTGCGCTATGCTTTTTCAATAAATTTAGACCTACCTCATCAAGTTTCTCACTGTCCTCATCGTCGTTTTCCTCCTCTCCTGGCCGTTCCTCTTCTCTGCTGCTCCCACGGCCAGCCTCTTGACAGCACCCGCTGCTTCCTTGTCCTGCCCTGTTGCCAAATTGCGCTCAATGTTGGCGATGTTCTGCTCTATATCGATGAGCATCTGCTGATCGTCCTCAAGGAAGTCGTAGACTGCCATGGCCTCGTCCGGAGGAGTGTAACTCACATCGAAGTCAATGGTTGCCTGGTTCAGACAGAAAATATTTCGTATGATTCGGATCAATAACTGCATCGGCTGATACTGTGATAATGAATGTCAACACAAACCACGAAGGTGAACAAATTCCATTACAGATCCAGAACTAATACAGAGTAGCTACCATTTGGTGAATTGATCGAGCTCAATAAATTGGATCCGCGACTTCTTTCTGGGGACCGGAGCCTATACTTGGCATCATTGGCGTAACCAGAAGCACACCTTGAGCGGAGGGATACACATTCCTATTCAAAATAAATGTGTATTCATGATTATTTATATAACTACAATCATTTCGAGCATCACATTTTCATCACGGCTTTGACTTTGAATCATGAATTCTGGAATGTTAGATAGGAATATCAGTAGATATACAGGGTGTTCCAAAATTGTTGGAGAATATCTATTAGCATTATTTGAGAATATTATTTTTATTCTTCGAAACTATATGGGATACGACATTCTCACAAGAGTTACAGAATTAAGATAATTGGAAATGAAAAAATGGGAACCGTATTATAACCCATTCAAATTCTTGGGAGTGAGGGTATTTTTGAATCCTGCTTTTCTTTTCGAAAGGCTTCTTCTTTTGGGGTCTCGGACGTTCAGACCTAAATTGGACATGAAATGGACTTACCGGTATCGCTATATTATTGGCATCTAGAAGACTGTCTGAGATAGATAGCTGGCCATCCTGAACCACTTTCTGCAACACCAGACGATAAGAGCCAATAAGCTTGTCAGAAAATAGGCGACTGCGTGAGAATAGTTCCAAAAGCAGAAGCTCGTCTTCTTCTACTGGTCTTCCCACTGGCCAATCGAATTTCTGCAAAGTTGAAAAAACTTTTATGAATATAATAGATAGATAGATTTATTTGTTTCAAAAACATACAGTTTAAGAAAAAAACGTCAAAATTAGGCTAAAGTACATAAATAAATAAATATCGTAGGTATAAAACAAACATAATAATATACAAGATTTCACAGGTACATAAACATAAAAAGTATATGAACGTCTACTCGAAAAACATTATTCATCAGTCAGCGATGATTGGATCACAGAAGAATTCATCCAAGGTGTAATAAGATTTTTTCAGGGGCAAGTTTTTCATTTTATTCTTGAATTAGAATTTATTTTTCGATTCTTGTATCGATTTTGGCAGGCAATTGTATAATTTACATCCATTGTAATATAAACTTTTCTGATACCGAGCAGATGAGTGTTGAGGAGGCAACAGATAATCTTTGTTCCTTGTATTGTAATTATGTTCGACTTTTTCAGTCTCAAAATAACGTTTATGATTAAATACAAAACAGGTTACTTCATAAATGTAAAGGGAAATCATTGTGAAGATACCCAGTTTTTTTAAATATTCCCTGCATGAATCTCTTGCTCTCAGATTTCCCAAGATACGGACTGCCCTTTTTTGTAAGGTGAAGGCCCTATGAGCTTCTGCGGAATTCGCCTAATGCATGATTCCATATTTTAAATTTGAGTGGAAGCATCCGAAATACAATTGTTTTATTATTTCTCTACTACATTGTTGTGATGAAATGAAAAGGGCATAGCATATCCTACCTAGCTTCGAACACAAACTATCTACATGTCCATACCACTCCAGGTTACTTTCTAAAATAACACCAAGCAATTTAGTATTTAGAGCGCAGTCGATTTCTGTATTATTTAGAGTTATGTGGTTAGGATATTCTGAACCAGAAGATTTGAAAATAACACAGGTCGATTTATCATTATTCAGACAAAGCTTGTTCACATTAACCCACTTGCAAACATTCATGTAAACTAGTTCGGCCTGTTTTTTAGCATTATAAACAGTGTCTGAAATGAACAGAAAGTTTGTATCATCAGCATAAGCTACTACTTGAGTAGAGTGTGATCTCATTGATTCAATTAAATCGTTGATATATATAATAAAGAGTGTTGGACCAAGAATGGATCCTTGAGGCACACCTATATTCACAGATTTCAAATCAGAAATATAGTTATTATATTCAACCTGCTGTTGTCTATCAGTCAGATATGATGCAAACCATTGGAGAGTAACTCCACGAATTCCATATCTCTCCAATTTATACAGAAGAATATCATGCCGAACACAGTCAAATGCCTTGGAAAAATCTATAAATTACCCCAGTGGCACTTGTTTATGTGTGTCAGTGTTTCTATTCTTCGTGAAACCATGTTGGCATAGAGACAAGTTACCATTGGATGTTTAAAAGTTAATGATATTTTTGTTGACGACAGCTTCAAAAATTTTGCCTATGCTTGAGCATAAAGTAATAGCCCTATAATTATCCACAGTATTTGAATCACCTTTTTTGTGAAGAGGAATGACATTGGATATCTTCAGCCTAGAAGGAAATACTCCTTGCTGGAGGGATAAATTGATAATGTGAGTGAGAGGTACAACAATATGTTCAGCGATTTCCTTCAACAGTACATTCGATAAACCATCATGACCTGAACAATTTGTATTCTTTAAATTTCTAATAGCTACCATCACATCTTGACTTTGCACTGGTGCAAAAAATATACTTTGGATAGAGGCACTGATGCAGGTATCAATTTATGTGTAGTCTACAGTAGATGAGAGGTCATAAGTGACTTGGGAAGCAAAAGATGAGAAAAATTCATTGAAAGCATTTGCACAATCACCACCTACTAAAATCTTATTATCAATGCATAACTCATGCACAATGGAATGTTATTAAGGAAGGGCTAATATCAACTGAAGCTCATGCGCAGGGGCGTTTCTGGGGTTCTTGGCACCCGTGTGCGAGATTTAGGTGCTCCTCCTCAAGAAAATTATGACTTTTCCTAAAGGTAGTGATTCTTTTCTCGTTGAAATTGTGAAATAATCACGTCTATTGTGTTACGCCACAGCGTTGCGCCCACAACAGTTTTGAGTTAGTGGCAAGAAACCTCAAACGAAAACCAGATATCTTGCACCAACAATATTTTTTTGATGACCATCTCGTGAAAATGAATAAATTTTCGCCAAATCCGCAAAATATATTTTCATAAGTAATATCACGATATGTTCTGAATTATGTAGATAATTCTGTTGCTTCATTGTTCACGAAACTGTGTTGCTATACGGCAACAAAATTGAGGAAACAGATTTCATTCTGCTCGACTATTTCACGTTCACGAAGTACAAAAAGCATTTATTATAAATAAATGATTTATTCTGACAAGTACAGCCATAGTTATTTTATGCCAAACTGACAGCCTTTGCTTCGCTATCCATGGTAACATCCATGCTTTGATTTGCTATCCATGGTTACATCGTTGAAAACATGAATGCTGTCAGACAAATCAGAATTGAAAGACAGCTCATCTTTTCGTGATAAGCACACGTTATCTCTGGCTTTTCTTTGGTCAGATTATGTGATGAGTGAAATAGTCATAAGTAATATATCACGGTGTTCTGAATATTCGAGATAATTATGTTGCTTCATTGCTCACGATATTGTGTTGACGAGCAACACTACGAGTCCGTTAGGACGAGTGGTCTAGCTGTACGGCAACAAAATTGGGTTAACAATGAAGGACAAAATCATGAGAAGATATTCAAAACGTACACGTTCACGAAGCATAGAGCATAGAGCATTCATTTTGAATGAGTGATTCATTCTGACAAGTACAGTCATAATTATTTTATGCCAAAATGACAGACTTTGCTTTGCTATCTATAGTTACATACAGACTTTGATTTGTCATCCCTGGTTACATTGTTGAAAACATGAACGCTGTCAGAGCAATCAGAAAAGAAATACTGCTCATGTTTTCGCTATGAGCATACGTCGTCTCTGGCTTGTGATTGGTCAGATCATGTAATAAGTGAAATAGTCAAGTACATTTACTCATTTCATGTCACTTCATTGATAACACCTGACTTCTAAGGACATGAGATGCGAGCATATTATTATCTAATACGCGAGGATATCGTGGCGCCTTCTTTCCGCTCCTATCTATATTTTACTGGCACTCTATATGAAATACGAAGTCAGCCGCCTTGATTTGTTCGCTTGCTGCCTTGCAGAATCCCGTAAAGGAGCCCATAGACTGCGTTGTTTTGTGGGCTGTTTTGTTCGTCGAATATGTTCGAACAAAAATAACGCGAAACCGTAGTGAGTGGTGTGTGGCTCGGTTTTGCTTCATTTTTGTTCGAACAGACTGGTTCGTCGGACAAAACAGCCTACCAACAATGCAGTGAATGGACCCCTTTCACGCAAGCATTTATTCCATCGTCCATAACGTGAGTACTTTTTTTCACACTTTTCCGGAAAATAATGAAACAGTATTGTGATATTGAAAAATTAGGCACATTAGGCACACAAAATATGTTTGAATTGTGCAGTTTTTTGAAAATTGTAGGAAATATTGGTTATGCCACTATTTGGCGCCCCTTCGACGTGGCGCCCGTGTGCGCTGCACACCCTGTACCTATTCATTTATTCGCCATTTCAGGTTGCTAACAGAACAAAGTTCCAGAAAACAGCATCTACTATGTAAGAATTATTATGAGTTATTTCTACAATTATACATGAAAATTTCTTATCGGTATAAAATTATCAGGCAGTAATTCAAATGTGATTAAAAAATATTGTATGAAAATGTTTTTATATATTAATAATATAGTAAAAATTATGGGACATAATTGAACCAGCACAGGAAATGAGGAACCATTTTCAACTATTGATCTGAGTTGAGAAACATTCGTTGCAAAAATATTTGAAACAAGACAAAGATGTCGAGAAAATGTCGAGAGATGAATTGGGATCGTGACAGTGTGTGTTGAATGCTTTCTGCATACGAACTAGTGGCGAGTTTTGTCCTAGATTGGTTCTACAATAAGGGATATTGAATATTGAATGAGGTATGATATCGAAGATTGTTTCTACTGGGAACGTTGAAATGTATGGACGGAATGCCCCTGCTCGTACGAGTGAAGGCGGACTCATATAACATTAATTTATAGTTACATTTTTACTAATCGTGAAATACCAGATTATGTAACATAATGGTCATGAGGACAGGACGAAATTCTTACAGTCTACTCCACCAAAACTATACTTTATTTTGATCAAATTTCGGGTCATATTTCGAAGCTTCAAAGCTTCATCATCAGCTTCAAATTACATAGGAGGAATAAATTATGTTCACATACCTATTACAACAAAAAATCGAAAAATTTATACAAATACAAAAATGAAATAGAGGGACCGCAGTTATTGCGGATCACCTATGTTAGGGGACTGGTTTGTGAAACGTTATGGTGCAATATCCAATGAGAATCAAATTCAAAATTGGACGACCATCTTATAGTTCTTGTTGATCATATGAGCGATGAATGAATGAATCAATGTTTGTTGTAATATGTGAATATAATTCATTTCTCTGAAAGCTGATATTGAAGCTTTGAAGCTAGACTGTAAGAATTTCGTCCTGTCCTATTGCCTACACTCCACTGTAAGATGGATCGCCTCAGATGGTATGGTCATAATTCAATTAACTATTTATACCAGGTTATATGATTTGCTTAGATTTCCCAGATATTTACTTGATACAGGATCTCTAATAGTTTTGTGGAGAAAATGGTCATTCAATGATCTAATCTTGCAAATCAGTTGTTTTCACTGGAACTATAATGCAATTATCATACATGGTATCCCATAAGTCATGAATCAAAAGACGTGGGGTGGTAGGGGGGTCATTTTCGATATAGCTAACAGTATATGTTAAAATCAAATAGTTAATGTTTCAAAAGTTATTAATTTTTTCAATTTCTATGAACATCACGT